CTCATAATTCACTGTTTGAATGCTGAAGTACGCATTTCGCTCAGTATAAATCTAAGAAAAGCGATCCCTAAAGTGGTGTCTATTATTATGTACAAAATTTGTTGTTCACCGTTTAATATTTTCCCTGATTTGAATAGACATCAATTCACAAATTCTTATTCCTTTCTAGATAAACTCAGAAAACACCGATATTCGTCAATCGAAATCAAATATGCTGAATATATGGTGGAGAAGATTTGTGAGTCAGGTGGATGATTTTGATGGACTTTTGTTCTCTGAGCTGCAGGGTTTGGTCGTGGAGCTTTCATCGTGATTCTGAACGACATCATCAGCACAAACTCCAAGTAGTAGTCTACCAAACCATCCAGCTCAAAGAACCAATCTCCATCAAAATGCTGAATCAATTTTATGATCCTTTAGGATTAGAAAAGACTAATAGTGGTAAGAGTTATCTTGTTGATCACAGTATTAAACAAGTTTCTAAATGTTTTCATAGTCTTCTTACATCCATTTTATGGATGATACGTTTTTATTGGAATTTTTTGAGAGAAATGTGGCTGGAACCAATTCCAAAACTAATGTAAACTTCGCCAAACGATGTGGTTGAAATTTTCCAACAGCTTTTGTAGAGGACATGATTAAAAAAGCACTTAAAGTGCTTAATTGTCAGTATGAATGTTAACCGTTCTGTTATTAATTTTTGTTTTGTTCTTTCTGTATTAATCTCAACTGCATTTATATATCAAAGAACAACTTGGTAATTTACTGAGGGTGTTCCAAATTCAGGTTTGTCTTAGTAGTTTCGCTGATGGTACAAAACCGGCTGCGTCATGTTAATTTGGGTATTTCGTCTTGGCTGCATGTTAACCAGTCACTCTCTCGTGTTGTGGAATGCAATGAAGCAAGCTTTCAATTATATTAGTGAAGACAGATTGTTGAATAGACAACGATATCATGTGATGTGGAACCAACTTCGTATGTTAGTACGAGAAAGCTTATTTTTGATGTGGCTAAAGATAGATGATGTGAATTTGTGGACCGAAAATACTGCTTCTTATGCTGTTCAGATCAACGGAAAATAATTCAGGAAAAATCGTGTCGCGAAAAAATTAAGGAGGGTCAAGTATTATATATATATATATATATATTGTGAAAATAATATTTACAGAATTCACACCAGTTTACAGGCATGATCAGATTGATGTAAAAAGCAACATTGAATGTACAGAACAAACATGAAATTTAAAATTATTTATGTCTGCTGGTTCAGTAATTGATAAGTAGATTATATATGGCATATATCACGGCAAGCCAATGCAACACCAGGAAACTTTTATTTTTTCTTAAGTGGATAGCCTGATGATTTATGAACGTATTTCTTTGAGGTTATTTTCAGTGTTAAAGCGAGTTATTGATAAATATCTACAACTAGGAAAATTAAGATAAAAGCAAAGAGCACGGAACAACAAAACAATGATTGCCAAAATATGCCGGTCAGGTTACCACTGTTCATGTTAGATATTATTCAAACGTGTTAGAGTTGCTTGTGACAGTGTTAACGTAAGATCTGTAAAGGGACAGCAAGTACGTGGTTAAGCATTTCAAGTTCCGATAATCTCACTTGTGGAGTAAGGTACACTTACAGACGCTAGAGCATTTAATGCATTCTCAGAGGAGCAATATGCATTAATGGAGCAAACAATTATTGGGAGAGAGTTTAACATACGGATAGTTTGTGGTAGATTATTCCAGAGTCTAGAAAACTTACAGGCAAAGTAATTCATATAGAGAGAAGATCTGGAATATGTTTGTTTCGCTAAAGACAAGGAATTACGAATGTCGTAATGTGAGGCTTTAGCATATTGAATCGCTCGATTGGATGTGAAGGATAGTTTGTTAAGCATTTTGAAAAGAAGATAAGGTTAAGTTTGAGTCTCCTCTTCCATGAGGGGTGAAGCCATAGTTTACTACACCTAGAATTATACATCAAGGCACAATCAGTTCCAAGAGTACGAAGTGTAAATCGTCTTTGTACTGGTTCAAGCCTTGCAGTACAGTACTTGTGGCCCGATACATGTAGTACGGATTTACATCCAATTAGATGCTGCAAATTGTAGCATTGTATTTCTTAATTTTTTCATTAAAGTTTAAACGTACACAGTTATTCAGAAATTTAAACCAGTTTACATTTGTTGGAATACATCGATTTGTTTTCAAAATTTGTCAAGGTGATATTGTCAAATTCATCCTAAAGTTTATTTATTGTTATAATGAAGCATTCGCAAGCTTATAATGGACGATTTGTATCTGTTTAGAAAACCATTCAAAAAATTGTAGGCGCTGAGCAGCTTTTCTGTCCTAGTACGGAACTCCTCAGCAGTGCGCAAACAATCCTATTAAGGATCGAAACCTGGACTTTCAGGTCTCATTGGAATAGCTATACTTTTAGAACACTGTGTCAGCATGAACGCTGTCATCACTTTGTTTCGGAAATGAGATGGATATCGACTGAAACGCTTGTGAAATGTCTATTACTGTTTGGAATTCGATATAACCTTTTGAATGTTGATTCCGTGATTCAAAGGTTAATATTTCGACGACATGCACTTGGGTTCTGAGTTATATTGATCGTAGTGTCACGTATCTGCATTGCTTGGGAGTTCCATATTAGTAGTAAATAGCTGTCCTATAATTCCAGGTTTCTAAAGGTTGTCAAACTGAAGTCTGTTCGCGATCCCATTATTAATTCTACTTATTTCACTTGTCAGTCAGTCAGATAGCTACAGTGTAGGACCAGACACATATATACATCGGTCCAAGTTGCCATACTTCATAAGCACAACAAGATGAACACTGAATTATTAGAAGTCAATTTAATCGTGGTAATATATGAAAGAGACTGTACATAAGGATATAGTACACGAAGAAAGACAGATATGTAGCAGTTTTAATTTTATAGTTTAAGAGAAGACAGAGAGTGTATACACTGACCCCAGTGTGATCGATTCTGAGCCATGTCACACAGAGTCTCCAATCATTGGTTACGATAGTCACGCGGACCCGAACCAAGAAGTCTGTATCTACCAACATGGCTCTTCTGTAAATCTCATAGTCATATATCATCATTTTATTTCCGCCTATGTTGCTCGTAATTGAAGGAAATATCAAAGCAATCCTCACTGGATGCACATTTATCAATATGAGATCGATCAAATGTAGTCCACAACATCAATGGGAAGTGTTATATCCCCCGGTGAATTACAAATCGTAACTTTTAGGTCTATTTATGGATCAATGTAATATGCCTATTTCCTATTGTACAATTATTACGTAACTGAACTATTCATATTCATATTTCCCTTATCATTAGCTTTATTTTGACCCTGACTTATTATTATACGATTCTTGAGTTATCATCAGTTTATTGATTACTATTCACAGCCACATTCGGCTAAATATTGTACAAACGTTATTATCTATTTTATGGGTCGATATGGTTGATTGTTTGGTATATAAACTCAGTATGTTTGAAATACAATGATTGATACCACTGAGGCTGTTATTGGTGTTTTGGACTTAACTGGTTGGGCTAGGCAGATCGCAGGACCGGTTAGCACTGTAGACTGCTCGTACGGTTTCGTGTGTCACTGTTCCAATCGACAATTCGCTGCTTCCTGTTTGGCGGTCTTATCGCGTCACACATCAACTAGGTATCCACTCGGCTACAAGCATAACAGGAAGACGCAAACAAACATTATAAAAATAAATGATCATATTAATTGACCAAGAAGGAATATTCAGGTAAGACCTAAAGAAGAAAAGCCAAATATGGTCCACTGACACTAGCAACTAAAATCTAGCCGATGTAAAATCAGCTATGGCTTCCGAACATCAATCATATATACCTGAATGTAATCATTGCTTTAATTATTCAACTTTACGTAAAGAATTTGAATAGACGGAGATCGTCTTGCTTTTTGAATTTGAAAGGTACTCATCCAACTGTGCAAATCAGTAACCGAATCGTCTTATAGAAGCACACATACATTTGAGTTTGTTTACATCAAATTTGGCTAAGCCCTTTTGTTAACTTATTTGACGGACAGTCATTCATACAACTTCAACCTATCTATACTATTGTACTTTTATTATGTACGCTTGTACATTGCTTACTGCCTAAGCATGTATTTATTCTGCTAGCCTTACTATTAATCACTTGATCCGATGATTCATGCCATTCCACTTGTATATATATGTACATCTTAATCCTGTTCACTGCTCTACACTGTACTGTACTCGCTCATTCGGCTCTCACGCTCACTCGCCTGTTTTATGACACCACTTTTTCATGCTTGCTTTACGTGCCTGTGATTTTGGATATCTGTGTGTGGCCCAATAATAAACGAAATCAACCCATCGTCTTCGCCTTCTGATTTATGCACCGTTAGGATGTTATCGAGTAACGGTTATCAGAACGAACAGTATACGAAGTTTAAGGAAAATATCGAATATCGACCACCACAGCCTTTACCTAATTCTTTCTTCTACGCTATATTTTAAAGACTGAAATATATTGTCTTGTTTGTGAATTGAATGTCATTTCTATAATCTTTCATTAATTTTAAGAGTGTGTAATTTGAAATTGTGTATATTGTAAATTAGTGAATCCTACACAATAGAAAGCTGAAAATTTGAATTCAGAACATCCGTTGATTAGGCTAACTAAAATTTATTTAATTTAAATAATAAGCACAAAATAATGTAAGTTGTTTACTGAGTTAGAAGAATGATAATTGGAGAACATTGATTCTTATGTTGATATAAAGTTTTGTGAACGATAAATAGGTATTTAACATGTATGTGAATAGGACCATAAAATAAAAATGAGTATGAGTATTGTGTATGTTAAAGATTTGCTTAAGACAGTGCAAATAAATCATTCAAATGTTGAAGCGTTGCAAAGCATCTTTAGGGTGTCGAATATGTAGTACATAATAGTTTCACCACACATCACATTCCACCTCAGGATTCATTGGTGAACCAACTGGACAACCATATGCACGTGCGAATCTGTTATTATTAACCAACACCCCGGTTACTCTTTCAAGGTAGAGAAAATAAAATTATTTAATTAGTTTGGACAGCCGTAAACTAAATATACAACTACTATAAAGTTTGGAAACTGAAATTACTATTTTTCTGATTAAGATTTTGAAAACTTAATAAGATTGAAGTTGAAGTAGGCGACTATCATTGGAGTTGTAGACCATCGGAATTCATTAATTCTGAGTTATTGTAGCGGTTTGTAATATGGGATAAGTAACAGTTATATGGCATTCAAAGATGATAGTGTTCATTCTCGTTATGGAATATAATGCTGAATACTTTTATTTCTTCGTTTTATAATGCAATATCTGCTTTGAAAACTTTAGTTTTTGTGGCAACAAATATTTCCATGGTCATAATTTTTAGTATGGCATATGTATTTTTAATCGCTGTAAATTCTTACCTGAATTTTTCCAAAACATGAGGCTGGGCTACCGAAGTTAGTAGAAGCATAGTCTGACCATGATGTCCACACAAACTCTTTAAAATGAGATAATGAAAACAGTTGTAAAGTACATTACTAGATATTTGGTGGTAAAACAAATAGGATTATATTTAAGATGACATTGCACTTATTATACCTTACCGACAGTATACAGTAATATCACATGAGAACAGAGATAGTATTTAAGAGGTTTGATGAAATGCAACTTTAAACAATAGCAATTTTTGAATACGTCTGTTTGAGTTGGCATTTTTCATTTTGTTAAATTATGTTATGACCTTAGTTTTAAGCTTTATTACTTTTCAAGATGTCACAGACAAAATGAAAATATTATTGAGTTGAACTTTAAACTAATGAATACCAAAATGAATTTAATTTGCAGCTTAACTGTGAATAGCAAGTTTATTCAGGTGAACGATCCACTTAACCAACTTCTCATATCGAATTTCATACGTTGTGATCATAGAAATTGAAAAAATAATTTGGTGGTTTGTATGAATTTAAACAAGTGTTATTGAACGTTGATGAAGCAGACTATGTTGTTCACCATGTAAATATTTTAGAAGAACAACAAGTTTCAAATCCTTTTGGTAATTGAATGTTCTGGCTAAAATATAATGTCGGAATAATTGCATGAATGCCATGTACTCCATGTACCGGCAATAAACTTGTATATTATTCTTCTGATGAATTTCAGGAATAATGACATGAGTGGTTTAAAAGGTTTTTATGAAAAATGTTGATGTTTACAGCAATCACATCAAGACTCTGTAGTGCCGTGCTTCAATAATAGTTCACTTCGGTAACCCTTATTATACAAATCTTAGCGGTGTATAAAATCAGAAGGCAAAAGGAAGCGGAAACTACATTTTATTTGATGAATGATGCAGACCAGAAAGCTGTGGGCACATGAGCAAGTGTAAGCGAGCGAAGCAAAGATGATGCATAGTGGAGATGGCTGGGAAGCCAATTCGAGAGCGAAGCGAAAGATAATGCGTATTGGAGATGGCGGGGAAGCCAACTCGCTATGAGCAGGCATTACTCAATATTTATAATCAGACAAAAATGAATGACAGACATATGATGAATAGGATGCGAAGGGTACACGTATACGCTCATATAAAAATATAATCAAGGTTAATAAGCGGATAATTAACAAGATCAAAATATGAATTTTAATGGATAAGCGAATTGGCTTGACCAGTAGCTAGAATAAAGTATATGGGCTTAACATATAAACTGATACTACAACTCCAGGTGAACAAAGAATGTAGGATGAGTGTTTTAGATAAAGACCATAAATACCATTGAATATAACATTGAAAAATACACCATAGTTATTTTTTTGAATAACAAACAAATCAAAACTTTGACGTACTTGAGCAAAAGAGAGGAAGAACAATCGATCAGATGTAAGTGACTGATGGTGATCTTGACTAACATTATTCGAGAACTTGTTCAACAAACGCCTGTATGTCTGAATAAAGAAAATTTTGTAGCGTAAAATGTATTGTGACTGAGCGTAATTGCAAACACTGATCATAATGCGTAATAGTAAAACATCATTCAAAATATACAGGTGATGTATTCGTGAAAAACTTTTCCCCACGTGTTTTGTTAAAATAGTTTATAGTATGAAGAACCAAAGTAAACCTATGCACCTTGTGCTGTATTTCTTAGTTTCCATGAATCACGAACGAGAAAATGAGTAACAGTGTTCTGCACCGATTAGAACTAGTGAAATAATCATAAGCCATGCTACAGATTATTCGGCTCAATGAATTGGTTTCACAAAAATATTCAAAGTAATCAGTTTGACCTTCAGCCGCTTTGTTTGTTGTGATGATATGTAGAGATCTATCTATCAGGACAATTAGCCTACCCTAAGACTTAGTTTTAACTTCGTCTTCTTTTATCCAGTGACTTATTTCTTTACTTCAGTCACAGTTGACGCTAATAAAATTTTGAACAAATACCGTCTCAGTGAATGAATAGAACACTCAGTTTGATAGTTTTTCGTTTTCATAACAGCAAATATGCGATAACTGTTTGAGATGTGTAATAACAAAAGAACGTTTGAATCCGGAGAAAGAAGCGTGTGACTCAGAATGTAGTACAAGTGGGACAAGCGTATCAATGTTTTCTTGAAGAGCTTAATAAATTTTTAGTTACTCAATTACCAATCATATGATAGGGTATAAAAAGCTAAAACGATAAACGTGATGTCGAACCACTTTGTGAACCCCTATCTTCACGTGAAAAAAGTTATCATTTATTTAAAGAAGTGTTTGTAAGGTAGTTTGCCATATATAAAGTTTGATTCCTTCCTATGTTTTGGTGAGTGAACAAAATGTTCTTTATCGTTCTCATAAATGACATTCGAATAATTGTATTATTTATTTGTCCATGCCACATTTAGGTTTTTGTTCACTGTGACGAAATAATCGAGCCACTCAAGATACACAATTGTAGTCTGATAACTGATATCTAATGTCAGTGGTCATAAACGAAATCTCATTTATTATCTAAATGTACTTACGTAGTAAGATGCTTTTAATCCATTATTGTCAGCCAATATTTCTTCTTGAGTACTAACCTGAAAAGCCTAAATCAATTCAATAATCAAGAGATATGTGTTATGTAAGGTTGTGAACCTGAAATGAGAAATGCTCATAACCCCTTTTTACACTGAAATGTTATATTGTAAGTATACCATATGACATTCCATACGATAGACTTTATTCTCTAAAATAAGTGATAATGTCACGTAAACAGAAATACTTTCAGTTTATGCGAATGCAGTTTTAAGTTAAATGACTTATCATCCTATAAGAAGTTTTATTTACTTTTCATTTTTAAAGAGCGTTTCATCAAGGGATGTATTAAAGTTTCATAGTCATTTAATTCCGTTAGTGATCAGTATTGAGCGAATGTATATCTCATGAAATTCATGTCAGACGAAGACGATGTTGAATTGTTTTCAAAAGTCATTGTTGATTAAAAGGAAGTTCGCTTACAAGAAAACGTGTTAGTAAAAAGTTTGAATTATTTTCTAGTCTTGGTTTTTCAATTACTGTAATATTTTCAAAAACAGTTTATTCAAATTAAATCACATGACATTTTACGAAATTATTAGTTAGTTACGTTAAATATAGCGAAACAAAATTCTTGAAAGTCAGTTTTCAGTGTTTAAGAGTGATATTAGGTTGGACAATCCAAGTCCATTTTGTTATATCCGGGTAAAGAATAAGAGAAAGTAAGTTCTGATTTTGCATTCTCAATCGGTGTACGACAAGGCTGTCCACCATCTTCATTTATGCTCAGCCACTCTTTGGATTGATCATGTATAACTGTTGTTTTATCGTGGAATACAGTGTGGTCTGGTTCCATATAAACTACCCCTGTCTGAAAATGTAGATCATTCTGGACCGGTGATCATTCATCTTCTGTGCTTCCTTTTCGTTCAGAGCAAGTAAGTACTGAATCCACTATCAAGCATAGAGAATGATTCTTTTCCTCGTTGCGTATTATTTCCCTATGGTCGTCTATGTGTTTTGGTCGGTTCTAGAACATAACACATTCATAGTGTCATTTGATTTTTTTTTCTGATGAACAGTACAAGTGGAACACATTAAAAGAGTCCCATGTTTATATACTTTTACTTTTATTTGTACGGTGTGTGAAATCAGAAAACACCGATAACTGATGTCACGTATAATAGTAGGTAAAAGCTCATTCTTCAATACTCTCAAACTATAAGTAAATTACAATTTGAATAAAGTTAGTAACGTTATCACTTGATGACTAGGTATAATTTTATTCTAGATTAGCTGCGATTACACAAAATGTTAGTAAATATTTATATGTTCATATTTATAGTTTAACTAAACTTACTTTCAAACTAGTGAAATCATAAAAACTATACTGATAACTCAGACATATAGCTTTTGATTGTATCAATTTGGATGACAATAAAGCATCAAACGAAGTCCGTCTGTTATTGTTCTTATCAAGCAGTACACCTAGAGATACAACGAAACTAACAGGTTATCTCCATTGAAATTCTAATTCTTTTTAACTTAAATGCTAGTTTGCATGTACAGTAGAAGAAGTGGTAAACAGAAATAAGTGCATAGATGTTTGATAATAAACAGTTTCACATCATTCGAAATGAAAGAGTAAAACAATGGGTTTATCGGAAACTAATACAACAGAAATTATGAAATGAGATGAATGGTGTCTAGCAGTGAAATCTAGAACACGAATTTCGTTCTATTTGGGACCCATCAGCTAGATGTACCCACATCCCAACTCTCCTTATCATGCTTATGAACTTGGACTATATCAAAGCAATCCACACATGACGTACATATGCCAATAAGAAATTAATCGATTGCATTTCCAAACATCGATGGAAAGATTCAAACAACCAATATTAAAATGAAACTATTCAACAGACATTTAGTCGTTACTCGTCAGTCGTATGGCAAACCAGGGTAGAACAAATTATTTCACATGATTTCAAATTATTCCATTGTAAAAATTACATTTGACATAGAATGATTTTCAATGAGTACTATGAATGAAGGTACATTGTATTATCACCAATACTAAATCAGTAAAAATTTATATCATCTATTTACTAATAGGACAATAGCAGTCTAATTTTGTATTCGAAAACGTGTCTGATATTCGGTGTGTGGTAACAACAGAGTAATACTCAGAATCCATTGGTCATTGATTAATAGAATAAAAGGATTTTTCAAGACAGAAATGTTAAAATCTTCAGTTGCTAATGAATGTATTCTTGGATATTCCATTCATTCTATTCACATAAAACGTTTTCGTGAAATCGCCGTTCTCTCAGTGATGTCCTAATTTCGAGAATGTATCGATACAGGACACTGGTAGTCCTTTGAGATTCCTTAGTCATAAAATGATTAATACCGACAACTGGAGATTGCACACAATGGCAAAATGTTATACGCACATTGCGTCATTTCCCCCCAGAAGATTAGTTTTCTTTGATGAATAACAAACTGACATCGTCAAATTCAAGAAGTTGACATTTTGTTGATATGTAAAACTAATTTTCTTGATCGATAAACCCTTTATTTATCCGTGAAAAAGTAATTTTCTCCATGAATTCATAAGACAATAAAATCATATTGTGATTTTATGAACATTATTATATCGAAAGTAATAATGTTATATTAGGTAATTAATATTACTGTTAAGAAACTGAAAATTGAGTATAATGATTGAACGAACCTTCGATACCTATGGCGTGCATAATTTCATGGCTGATAATCCAACCAAGTGCTCCATATTTCGAGGCTAAACTACCATTTTCATAATAAAATGGAGGTTGTAGAATTCCTGAGTATAAATATATGCGATTTTCATCATTTCTATAATGAGCTGCTACACGAAATTCCGGTGTTCCTATCGGAGATCTGCTCACAAAAATAAAGGTTTCATTATTTCAAACGTCCTACCATTTCATTAAAATTTCACCATTTTTGCATTACATCAGATAAATATTTCAAGAATACTACGGTACAAAATGCCTCGAATTTCATTTTGATCATAAACCAGCATGGATTATATTACATGATACTTAATGAATCCAATAAATGAAGCGGTTTCATTCAAACAAAAATGGGGTTGAAATTTGTGGGTCAGTTTACAATATGTGATTATGGAATTTTTACAACAGTTTCAATAATATGGATTCTAATATTCATAATAAATATCTGTGATTTCCTGAATAGACAGTAGGTAAATAATCAGTTCAACTTTTGTACTTATTGAACTAGACTGTTCGTTGTTTGAAAGACTTATGTCATTGGTAATTATTTTACATAGACTTTAGTTTGTTATTTCAGTCTACTATATTAGTGTCCAATCTCTTATAAAGCTGTTACATGATATGATGGTAGTAATAGTGGTAATGGGCAATTAGCATTTGTCCTATGAGTTATAAAATGAATGGAATCTTCTTACCTCATTACGATTTTAAATAATGTAATGTAGGCACAGAAAGTTTGCTTAAGAAAAGTAATATTTACATTCTTCTGTCTTCTAAAATTTCATTTAGCATATTGGTTACACGTTTTATTTGGAAGACGTCTAAACGAGTCAAACATACATTAAATCAGTTCACCAAATCAGTTTGAATTCATGGTAATACCGGTTCTATCCGGAAGAAGGCGACAATCTATAAGATAAGTTTGATTAAAATAGATTCCAAACTTTCTATTTAAATAGTAAGATTAATAATACCTGATAACTTGTATTGCTTTTATATCAGAGATATCATGAAAACTTACGGGTTATACTTGTTTAATCGAGTTTTCAAAGTGTCAACATATTTTGCTCTACGGATGTAAAATTCATTTTTGTAATAGTTGTCCTCTCGAATTGGGTACTAAACATTATTTGTGTGAAAAAACGTTGATAAATTTCATTTTCAAAAAAATATTCAAAACATTCTAAACATCCTGTTTTTCAGTTTATTACGTAAATATTTGTCATTCAAGGGTTTTGGGGTAGGGCAGTGTCATTGAAGCAACATTTCAGTTTTTTATTGTCAAATTAATCATTGTCACGCAAGTGGACTTTTCTCAATTTCTAACGCCAAGCTACCGAAACCATTTAACTGATGCATAAAGTTGTGTGAATAGACCTCGTGTGAATGTAAATTTTACCACTTACTGATACAGATGCAACTTTGTACTGTTACGAGATTGTAGATGATGATTCTGTACATGCTCCGAAGTAGTTGAAGTATGGTAAGATTAATGTGTAGTCTTTGAGGACTAGAATATTGTTTCATAAAGTGACCCATGTATTTAAACCTTTTGGTTTAAACATATGAGGTGCCAAAGTGCAGAATATAGACCAGTGAGTTGAAGTTCCTCTGCCAAGTAATGATGGAGTCCAACCAAAGTTGTTTGAAGATGTGAAATATTTATTTACTACATTAAATGTTATCACTAGTGAGTTCTGCAAACAACGGTCTTTTGTAAGTTTCACGTATCTCCTCCGTGATAAGTGGAGTTATTCTCTGTAAAAATTAACTAATATGTACCATAATACCTATTATATTTAGTTTTTAATAAAATATGCATTAGTTGTATCAAATATACATTTAAAACAATTTATTTTTCACTAGTAAAACAACTGTAGGTAACTTACTTGGGATACTGTTGAAAATATTTCTTTTACTTCAGAAGCATTTTGATTAGAGTACAAGGCAAACACGTCCATGTTTGAAACCTACAATTTTTCATAACGATCAGTCATCTCACCAAAAGTTAAACAAACCTTTTGTTTCATCAATTTCCTTCCTTCATCATTCAACCACTTGATTTTTGGTATTGAGTTAATTATAGTGACTTTGATTTCGTTAAACATATTGATCACCTGTAATGTAGTGAAAGTTAACCAAATTGATAAAGTTCATGCCATGTTTGAAAATTATTACGAACCATTTACAAATGTAATAGATGATTTATGAGATCTAAACATGAGACTATCCTAAGCGTGGTCCTAGCAATTTACTTAAGGTTCATGACAAGCGATTTTATTATAGCAACTATTCTACAGCTGATTTCGAATATGTTTAATTTTGAATAAACCCTTTTATTAACTTACTAAACAGAAAATACTATTAGAAAAGTAAAAATTCGTTTATTTTACAGTTGAATTTATGAGTCAATTGAAACTAGACCACCATGGGAAACCTGGAAGAACCGGACGGTTGTTTCGTCCTAGTGTGGGACTCCTCGACAGTACGCATCCACGATTCCAACCCGCGAGATTTAAACCTACGACTTATTTGTATCGCGCGTAAATGCTTAACCTCTAGACCACAGAACCGACGGGCATCCAACGGTGTTAATGTCTAAATTCAACTAATCCACAAAGTTAAGCAACCGCCCACCATTATCTTCAGTTAGTTACTATCTCACAACAGACCCGATTAAACTCCACTGGTCACTGCTTTCCACTAGAACTCCAGGAAATACCTCTTGAAGCCAGTCACTAGTGAGAAAATGAATATTATCAGAAGAGGGTTTTGTAGACATTTCTTTGTATTTTCACAAATAACTAGACCACATGACAGAATTTAGCTAAAATGTTGATAGCATAAATATTACCCGATGATTCATCCACTTCCCATATGTATTTAAGCACTAGAATTCTAATAATATTTTTTTGTTTTGCCTTGTTGTGCCCTTATGCGATTGGACTACAAATTTGCCTCTGTATTTGCTAGCATAAAGATATTCTCCTCTCCCCTCCGAATTCGCTTATATGCTTATAACTGCTAAAAAATTGTAGTTGCCGCTTCTCTTTGCCTTTTGATTTCAAACACCGTTGAGATTTATATAGTAACGGTCACAAGGGTGATTGATTAACAAAGCTATACCACTACAGTAAGATAGATATTGGTTTTTCAAATCGATCATTGATCTCTGTCCATCAAGAATATGGTTTGAAATTAAAATTGTATACCAATATACAGTCTATTAAAGTAGATAAATAAGATCATTTGGATGGATTTTCAAATCTGCATTTTAAATGGATTTGGTCAGAGAGCACGATATACGGCTAATAAAAACATTTTAAGTAGTTAGTTGCGTTTAACTAAAATCATAGTTAGTTGCCCTCCCTTACCGAATTGTATTACGTTACACTTTATCTTGGAAATGTAATGTAGTGTTAACGATAATGAGCTCTTATCCTATATTGTTCAAGTGATTATTGCACACTGCAGCTTCTAAACCTTAAAAAAGACCACAGCAGTGATGACACTTCGTAAGGATTCTGAAGATCATTTTAAAAATATTCAGTATATTTGTTTTGAAAGAAATAAGTTTTAGTTGTCTAACCAAAACTAGGTTGATATTGGAACGATGTTGACCATTTGATGTAATACATGTACTAACTTATGTCGGAATGGGAAAGAATAACACCACAAATTTTGAGAGACAGGTGTATAGGTGATATCAAAAGTGTCAAAATGTGTTGAAAAGTCTCTAGAATCAACATCAAAGTAACCATAATTTTGCATCACAAACTTCGACAGTTCGAAAAATAACGGAAATCAATGTCATTTAGCAGAAATAACGATTATCATGTTGTGATGCTGAATATCATTTTGTGTGGATGTACTGCATTTGATATGAAGTGTACTCTTAATTGCGTTATTCGAGATATTTGTTTATGTTTACGTAATTGGAATTAAAAAGCGTAGTACCTCCCGATTTAAATATCAAACTTTTGAATGTGAATGAATGGCTATTGAGTACATAGGTGTTTCTGACAATATTCCAGTAAATTAATGTTCATTTCGATTGCTCGCTCAAAGAACCTCAAAATGTACTTCATTTACGAGCTATTCGAATTCGACCACAATAATGTCTACAAATAATCACCCCAATATAATTGATGTTTAGGATGAAAGTTAAGATTTTTTCAACAATTAACTGGATTTCTATATCTGGAAACACTGATTACTTATAGCAAGATTAGTAATTATGATGTCTAACCATTTAGATATGTAAAATCATGAATGTTTAATCTTGAGAGTTCACATATTAATGACAGTAGAACGAATTTGTATGACGTCATCCATAGGGTTGAACAGTTGATCACTATTTTGGGTTCCATTTATCTATTTGTGAACAGTTAAGCTCTGTCATGGATGACAGATTCATGCAAGTTACCAAATTAAGAGCAATTTTACTATTGTATCTTATATCTGAGTTCGTATCCCATCAATCTAGTATGACATTGTTCACTGTAGTGTTTCCACTAGTTTAGCATGAAATGAAAGACTGTATGTACAAGTGTCCATTGTCAAAAAGTTATCGGTTCTCGTTATGATAGGTAAACTATCTCGGAAACTATCACAAATAACTGCATTCTGATTCACAGACCAGAAAACGGATTGTATGGACACCCGTGTTTCATGATCATTTTTTATCATGATGGATAATGATCTTTTGAATAAACCAAAAAATCGGAATTGTAACCCAAAGTCTACTGTAACAATGTGAAAAATGTTATGATTTTGCGTATTTCAAACATACAATCTACAATGGTCTGACGAGAAATGAGCAGCAAATTGTCTATCACTGAGGCTTAATTTACCCTGAAACAAAATGCTTTTCAAAAAATCTGGTATATACTTAATTAGAGTAAAATGTGTTGATTTATAATGTCAGTCGATCAATAAAAGCTGATAGAATTGATGGTTGGATTTAGTTTACTAAAACTGCTATACTAGGATCTATGAAGTTCACAGACTGCATCCAGAAAGATGACATAAAAATTAATTCAGGTCACCATTTTTATACGTTACCCGAATTTCGTAACAGAGTAACCTATAATATTTTCATTCAACTGAGATATGTCATCCAATTGAAATGAGTAGGCATCACTCGAATCTGATAGTTGTATTGTAGCTTGTTGTGTATATGAGGAATTCCATAATCGAGGAAAAATTTACTTCTGGAAATGTATTTAGTTTGTCTCATTTCATCATCTGACGACTTCAAATTATAGATAAGAGGATCTTTTGTACAAACATTGTAAATAAGTGAAATATGACATGAACTAACCTCCGTTTTGTGTGTTTCGTTTACATGCGAACGGATATAGTGTCTTTCAAGCGTCCATGGAAAACCGTCCTTCAACCGAGTTATACACTGCTCATCAAAATGTGGCTGTGAAGCTATTTTAAATAAAATGATATAATATTATGTTGTGGGAGGATCAAATGAATTTATATAAGGAAAGAACCGAATCAGTCAGTATGTCGGCAAATATAAAGTTCATGTTGATATTCCCCATGAAATACGTGATACCCCATCGTGCAAATCCAGTATTTACATATCTAGTATCCATGACTACTTGTGTACTCAACCAATCGTATACTTGCTTCAACGTGAAGCTGACCTAGAATATATTGAGAACAATACTTAACCGAAAAGCTGTTTAAATCCATTACTTCACTTCGAATACCAAGATGTACTTCGAAGTATACTCTAGTTACTTACTACTTTAGATCGCTCCATTTCTGTGCATACGACTGAAAATTACAATGATGAATAAATCGACATTGATTCAATCATAGTGTGTTACCTTGATGAGAATTTCTGAGCATACCGGATCTGTTCATATGTGAATGTTGCTTCTGTTCAATTATGCGGGCAGTATGCAATGGAAAGTTTTGTTTCGATTGGTAACTACTAACTTGTTTATTTATATGGTTACTACTGATGGACAACATTTTTATACTGGTTATTATTGTTGCTAGCGGCCAGAGATTATAAAGTACTTGATATCATCTTTATGTATGTCCTCAATACTTTCGACATCACTGGTGACGTTAGGTCATATAAATTAAGAATATCATACTTTATTAGGATAAAAATTTACAACATATCAACACTGGTTGGGGCGTTCCTAGTCATGAAGACCATTGACATACAAAATTTGTTTGCTACCGATATACCTATCTCCTTGTTGTTACTTCCATAACGGTTTTAAACTGATATGTTGTCAAAATGATCAGTATTTTCATTTTCCAAGCATTGTAAAGATCTTTATGACTTTTTGTGTTTTCCCTAAGGATAAACATCGTTTTCGGAGATAAAGAAATGTACATAATTATAGAAGAACTGAAACATGAACCATTTTGTTAACTGTTTAGTCGTTCAGCGTCAGACTGGAAGAGCAGTTTCTCAACAGTTTCTAATCCAGTCCTCATCAAACTTCATTTTACTATACAATTACATGTTCGGAAGTATAATAACGCATTACAGTTATGCCTAATAAATACATTACCAAACGAATATTACTGTTCACCAGCATAACTTTTAGGACCAATAAGTGATATTCAATATCATTATTCCAGTTCTTCTTATATACAATTCAATGCAATAAAACTCTTGAATCACATATGGAAACGTGGTTCGAAATTTAATTTCACCTGAATAGGTGATTCCCAATCGCATCATTGACTTTAGGATGGACATTTCACAGTAACCAGCAATTAAATCAGTAGATTATTACCAAATAATATTCTAGATTTAACAGTTTGGAAATGAATATATGTCAGTCATCAGGAGTGTCTGTTACGAATTGTGATTTTTTAATGAAATTTTCCCTTGAATCCAATTATCATCATGTCGACGGAATATGCTTCTTTAAAACGGGATGCTATATAATGGGAACGAGCAAAACTACATCTGAACTGATGTGTCCGTCTGTAGTCAAAAAATTTCATGATCTAATAATGTCATACGTTATACTTGTTAACTACAAATAATTCTTTTTTTTTACTTTGAGTACTAAGTAAATAAATACATTGTTGAATACAATACTGACATGAATTCAAGTTATAATCCATTCCAATTGTATGAACGTTTAGAGTATTCTTTTGTTGTTCTCGTAAAAAATCCATAATAGCTATTGTGCGCAGTATACTGATGAAGAGAACAAAATTAGGTCAACAAAACTCTTCAATAAAGCTAGGATAATGATAGTAATAATAAAAGAGCATCGGTAGGACAACATGTGCAATTTATAAATAACACTGGAAAAACGGTTCTGAACTCGAATAACTGTTGTAGAGCTTTCATCCTATCTCTTGTAAATATCTAGAACCACATACGACCGAGTTCAATGGGAGATAGTAAGCGATTTTCATTTAAAAAGAAATCTTATGAAACTTCATTAGTACATAATCTAAATACAATTTGAATCATGTGGTTAAGATTGAAATTAGTTCATCTAGAAATTGTGAGAGTTCAAAAAACCCGGCGAGACTATAATTTATGGACGACCTGTGAACAAATAATAAGTGACCTTGAGAAATGTTAGCCAATCAGCAAACAGTCTGTATAGAGTAAAAATATATTATACAAGACCAAAGAATTAAAGTGGATACACTTGTCAAGGTTAGAGAAAGGTTCAAAGGTTCTGAAATCGTAATGCATTAGGTAGAGGAACTCATCCATATGGCTCCATAATTGAAGGTTTCTGGAACCATGATTATGTCACAAAAACCCCCTTGGCATCCGCCACATAGCTTAAAATTGTTTATGTGTACTCCAATTGTGTAGGTTTATTATTTTTACTATGTATATGTCACTGAGATACTCATACCACTGAACAGCCGAAGCTCCATTAACATCTGCGATTATTGCAGCCAATGTTACTGGTGCTTTTATTATACAGTTGGCGGCAATTATTATAATGTGCCTTAGTCTCAATCTGGATCGAGAGATGAAGGTTCTTATTCTAGCAAACGTCTTCCTTCAAAATATATTACACCGAAGGAAAACATCACAGTACTTTGCACAAGGTCTACAAGTCATTTAATACCCACAATCACAAATACAGTAACTTCTTAGCAGTCTGTAGCCGCTTAATTGTCAAGTCTTCTCTAAAATTCTCTGTGAACCGATCGTGCATGAGCACTTGGTATTGAAATCGGCGCCGTGACCTTGAAATCCCTGAAACGCTTCTGATCCGCTCCTCCATAAATTATAGGCCCGCCAAAAAACCAATGATCCAATGTGATAGAACCAACATAAACAACCTATCCAGTTTCTTTAAAACAAATAAGTCAACATATTTGTCAATCATTGATATGTTTCATTTTAAACAATGATAAGTTTATTATGTTTTCACGAAACAATCAATAACCATATGCTTCTATTTACCTGATTGAAGCGTAAAAAGTTTAACAATCTACTGAACTACTAGATAGCAATCAACGGTATTAATATTGATTAATAAACAGCCACTGACAAATAGTATATACTAAATATTTCATATGTCTTTTGGGCATAGATTGAAATTGGATGATTAGAATCTGTATTCAACTCTGTAAATTATAGAAGCCTCTTTCTTTGTGGCAAGCATCACAATGACGTATATCAACACATAATGTAAATAGTTTTATCATCCAAATGCAATTACTGAACTTATTTACAACTAATGGATTCCATTTCGATCAGATCTAATCATTTTTACGGTTTCGAGTCACGAATTCGTCTTAGTTAGACTCCTAGTAAAAACCGGGAAACATCAAATGGCTGTTTCTTTCGATTTTGAGGCTCTTCAGTAGTTCATGTCCACGAACTCACATTCGGGAATCGAAACCAATCCCGTTAGTCTCACACGTGAACGTTCAACTCCTAGATTATTGAGTTAGTATCCGAAGATGTTAAGGTCTAAGTACAATACAATAACCACGATATCGCGCGACCCTCATCTATTGCCTGTGCTGGATAAATACTGTTGATGTGCACCGATGAGGCATTTCATATCTGGACGAAAGACTCGCCAAGTACCTCTAGGTTTTCAGTGGTAGTGTAACTAAGGTCAACTCATGATTCAGAAGTGAAAGTTCAACAATCTGCTCTAATATTTTACACTAATTAGTTGTTGAGAGACGTAGGTGCACATTTTTGCAAACTTATTGACTTCGAAATTCTATATTTGTTCTCCACCAAAAAGAAAATATAGTGTTTTTCACCTTTCACCATCTTTTTCTTTCAATAGAGCACGGTATTCTGAGCAACGTTGACGGAGTTCGGATTGCCGTTCTATAATGATTGGTAGTTTCTGGTACCTTACGTATCCAGTTTGTTGTAAGACCTTTTCAAGTACGTGACTCCAATCGATCTACAAAAGTAAAATAAATTACAATAAGCTTACAGTATGATTCCTCGAGAGAGAATGGAATAACATTTGCAATGGCTTTAACGTCACATGTACCAGCCGTTTGCATATAAGTGACCAACTGTGTATTGCTAGGTAAAACAGTTCAGTAATATAATACTGATTATTGAAATTCCAAATAAATATAGATTCTTAGAAAACTTAGCTTACAATTATAAAATAAACATTTCGTATGATGATTTTCATCTGTTCACTATAAATAATGTCCCACTATTCCGTGACATTAATCTACATTTTATTGTATACATTGATAGTTATCAACTTTCATATTTTTAAAGAATCTCTGTTACATTGCTTTATATTAAAAAAACATAAAGTTGGAACAAGTCATATGATAAAATTTACCTCTGGACATGTGGAATGTAGTTCATTTCTGGTAGTTAGTTCTCTCACGTTCGGTGTCTTTGGGATCGACCTCTTTTGGAGATTGAAAGTAAAACATAACAAGAATCAAAATGACAGTTATATCTTAATTTCAATTGGATATGACGAAATGAGACTCTCGTGTGAAAATCATTTACAGTCATGGTCTGACAATCGCACACTCCAGTTATACGATACAAGGAATAATTATTATAAGGTTTATCATCCTTTTTCCATATATCGGGATTGACGGTCTTTTAGACCACTGCTTTTACCAGCCAATTCCCAGTAAAATCTTCTGAAACCTGATGACGTTAAATGATTGATACTCATTTAGAACTAGCTAGTAGGAAATTTTTCATCTGATAAACATACGAATTTATGTGGATCAATTTTTTAAGGGGCCTATTTCACTAATTGTGCCGACGACATCTAACTACTAATAATGATCTTGTATTCGAATTTACAGGATGAAAAGCATTTAATAGATATTCCTAATCACGTCGGTATGTCACATTGACATTTCTCTTAAATCTGTTTCAGTTCTTTGAGTGATTTTTCTATAATTCATTATCATCAACTAGAAAACCTATGATCGATAATAGCTACAAGACATTCTCTTATGCAGTTACTAATGATTAACAACTCAATGTGATTTTAAATACCATTAAATGCAAGTTAATGATATGCATATTCAGTCCCTTTTTGTTATAAATGAGTGAAATGTATGTAAACATTTGTGCGTAGGACACAATATTTTATGCAGAGATACTCGATCAATTCTACCGTTTTTACACAATAGTGAATGCCCTCCCACAACTTAGAAACACTTTAGAAATGAAATTTACCGCACTAGTCTTGAGTAATCATGAATAAGTATACATCTGATTACTCGTAACTCCATCAGTCAGTAACTTACTCGTATTCAAAACTGGCTCTCATTATTTAGATAGACGTCTGTCTTACATTATACCTTTTCAATTGGTAACCCATTGGCTTTGACACTGGAAATTTTTCAAGATATCTTAAGTGAGTTTGTAATAATGCACAGACGTGATGTTTCGTTACAATGTCAAAACTTGAAAAGCAAACTTTTCGGCCTTAGATTATTGCTAGTGAAGTATAATATTTAAGTCTTTCTATGAAGGCCTCTAATGATTACTCATAGTGAATAAATGTCTAAATGATTTCTTCTAGTAGAGTAAAACAATGTCATCATATTTTTGACTTGGAGACATACAGATTTTTAAATAAACTTACTTTGCCTAACCGAATCATTGTTTGGAAAGCCTCTGTTAGTTGTGTTTTGTTAGACTGAAGTACTCCGGTTTCAAATGCAAGCCTGTAGTAATCCTCTTCGGATTCATTCATAGTAGTCTGTTAAAAGAAATATGAAACGTCGTTTACTCATATTGAAGTGTACATGTAGAACTGAGTTGGTGACACGTTGAAATGCTCTTTGATATCAAGTAGAATTTATTCTCAAGATGTTTATGATCGTTATTCAAGACGTACAAATATCTTGAAAATATACAAAGAGTTTTAGCTTTTTCTATTAAGACGTAACGTTTTTCGATTGTCTCGGTTGAAAATGACGACTCATATGCTATTATATAATGAATTAGATCAAGTCCTGCTGTTGTGAATACGTTCACCATTTCAAGGAACCGGTAATAGTGTACTTCATTTATGTACCTTCAAAATATTCCAGTAATATTTTGTCATCCATTTTTTCAATTTTAACTTCATATATAAATATTAGTTAATATATTTAAAAACCTTTTGGAATTTCAAAAACGATCTAACGATATGATTTTTTCTTCCGTCAGTACTCACAAACATACAGCTCGTCATTCAACTTCTCATCATACTCTGTCCACTAACGTATTCCCTAATTTTTCATAGAACGTGAGCGTTTCTTAAACCTATCTATTGATAAAAGGACAATGATAACTTACTAGCGATAGAACGTATGTTGTACAACTAAGCATGTGTACTTATTACATAATCTTAAAATTTGATCAATAAAATCATCGTTTCTCCAAATATTGTTATGAAGTACTATCTAAGTGTAATTTCAGTACTTAAATACTGTTCCAAACTGTCATTCAACTTTTCTTTCATAAATGCATTAGGAAGACAGGGTGGGAGACTATATTGGAAGCGGATTCATGATATAATGAAAATGAATATAGATGGACTGTTCGAGTGAGTCCTGATGAGTAGCAGCTACCATAATTTAACAACTCTCTTTAGATGCCAGCACAAAGAATTAAATTGAAGAGCTGATTTCGTGATATCACGAAAATGTCTAAGTTCTACTGACTGCCGTGAAACATAGAATGTCCGTTCATCCAAAGGCTCTAATTTTGATATCAAGGAATTATTTAATTAAATACGTGGTATAAATCATCCGGCTGAATGAAAACATTCGAGTGTTCATATCTAGGACTATTCTGACATTTAACTGATGTCAAAATGGGATAGAAATCAGAAACTTTCGTTGAGTTACCTATTAAATAAATACTTTTTAGTCACATTTAATTCTTACCTTCGGTAAATCTGGATGAAATGCGAACTGACCAGGTGAAATCTGATGAGATAAGAATTTCAAAATACATTTCTGTGGTTAGTTAAATAATTAATTAAAGCGTGTATCACATAAGACATTCTATTGAACCTGTTTTTACTGACACCATACATGTAAAATATTTGATTTCCTTTTTCTAAGATATGTTGAGAGTATTTCCATCATATTCCCACGATTTATTACGTATATTCGCTACTAGAAAGTGTAATTTAGAAACCTAATTACCAAGCAGGTTTCAGCATAACCATTTACGGGTTTCATGTGACTAAACTATCAGAATTAAGTTGCATAAGTTAAGAAGAAGACAACACAGTGATGTAAATTTCTTTTCAGCGATATACTTTACTAAAACGTTGAAACTGCTTTTGTAGATATTTAATAAACGAATGAGTTTATTGTTTCATAGAAAGAAACTACATCTTAGTGTTCGGGGAAATCAAGTATAAAAATAAGTTTGGGTAAAAGTCTAGGTGTTAAGAAAGAACAGGAACATAAGAATTAGTTTCATGTCAGAAATATAAGACATTATTGTTAACCTGATAGATATAAAAGAAAACTTAATCCCGTTAGGGTGATAATAACAATGAAATAAAAAACTCTCACAAATTGTATGAGTATCGTTATGACTGGCTATTGATTAAGGAAGTAAGGTATTATAGATTACACGTGCTGTTTTTGCATGCAAAGTTTTGGTTTTACTCAGTAAACTGCTGAAGATTTATTAGCAAGGCAGCTATTGATAGAGCCTCCACTAGATTTCATTCGTGTATCTGTATAGATGGTTTTGAAGGACCATTCTAGTAGGGAAATGTAACAGGAACCGACGATCTGGTTGCTTAAAATGATTTTCCCTATAATTTTGCAACTCAATTTTTCAGAGCTTTTGCCGATAAACTCAGTGCTAATGAACAAATTTTCTTTGAACAATTGTTGGTCTTTCAGATTTCTGCCTCATTACAGGTTTCTCAATGTACTCCTAGACTGACAGACAATCTTGATAGATTTTTGTCTATGTCAGCATTATTTACTTTTCACTGTTTCTTTGTAGCATATCCTCCTGACCGTCGAGATTAATGACTGAAATGCTCAGTGAGACTGAAATTCAAAATTCAAGTATTGATCATTCCATTTTATGTGTACGAATCCTTGTGAGGACTTTTTAATTGGAAGTAATAGGAGGAGAATTCCAAAACCATCTTACCTTCCAACTTAAACGTAATTAGGCAGTGATAGTTATTGAATTTGTTCAGGATGATGTTGGAGATTGTATTTTTGTAGTAGATGATACACGCATCATCAATGTATATTTTTATAAGTATCATATACGTCAGCTTGACCATGAAGTGATACACTGAAAGAGAGTTCAGTGGAGGACTCGTTGCTACCCATTAGCTCGTATACAGAGGTAATTATTAGATATAAAATGGACACTGAAATTACATCAAAAGAGTATGTGTTTTAAAACAGCATTTCAGAACAATGATGTCGAAATAGGGTCCACCTACAGGAACGATATGTTTCCTAAGTGAGCATACTAAAAATAACAACTATAACTGTAGTCAACTTTCTTAAGTAACAGAGTGGTCATGACAAAATCTGAACTTTATCAACATCAACCTTATTGACAGTAATTTAGCCAAACCTATTATAATTGTGTAGAAAACTCTAACTTTTGTAACTCTACATATGTTACTTGATAACAAAGACTCGAAGCCAGTACCCAGAACTCAATAGGTAAGTGAGTTTGAAGCGAACGGTACTGGGTTCCAGTGTCAGAGTGATCATCGACCCTGAGATTCAGGTACATCCAACTGATAAATCCCAAATGAAACGAAATGCGCGTTCTGGATTTCACTGATGGCCACTATCAATCCTTGTCTAGAATTATTTTGACTTAAGGCAATATCGAGGTAATACGCACAGTATGCACATATGCCAATAACAGACTGGTCAATTGCAGACCTTAACACAAATGAGAGGATCGAAGTAAACGAAGTGAACGCAACTTGTTTATGCTTTAATTTATGTACCGTATCATGAGATAGAGCCACCTTTAAAATATGTGGTCCAATATACCTAACTTCTCGGAAAAAGAATTTTTCTCAAGTTATAAAAGCGAATATTTAATGATTATGCGAACAGTATATCGAAATTCTTGTATTCTGTTTAACCAGTTTACACGCCACATCAAAGATCAGACAACAATAAAAAAAGCATTGAAAGTAGTATGACGTGTTTTGACTTCAGTTCTAAGAATATGATTTAAGTAGTCACTGTTTAGAACAGCCGAAATGAATTAAACCATCGCCTTAGTTATGTTTTAGTTTTCAGTACGTAAAACCAATGGAATCCTTTTCCTTAGTAATATAGTAAATCATATATTTAGTCGTCGCTCTATATAAAAAAGAATTTGATTTATCAAAGTTTGAACACATTTTTTATTCACGTGCGTACATCCTAAAATCTCTAGCTGTAACAGTGGAAACTATTTATCAGTTTATCAAAATCGGCAGTAGAATATTGCAACAAATTCATCGAAGTCATATCACAGGGTCAACTAAAATTTATTGTAAGGTTGGATTGATCTAAAGAATAGTTGTTCCTGTTCATTATAGTGGATTTGTCCGAACGCCGTATATCACTAACGTGCTTTTACTCCATGTGCACATTATATCAATATTTATCATACCAGAATCTAGTTTTAATTAAGAAGCATATATTACATACGAAATGTCTTTGATACACACTTCCTTTTCATCAGGATTTCTTACTCTGGTTTGGGTTATAGGTCATAATTAGGAGTAGCCAATCACTTTTAGTTTACTATAAATTGAGTACAATACTTTTCTTCACAATCCAAATTTTATTTGATATAAGTCTTTCGACGCCAAGTTCTAGCGTGTATTAGCAATGATTGTAATAGATTCAAAAACATTGAATATAATACAAAGAAATTTGATATGAGATATATAATTGAAGTGCTTACAATAACAGCAAAAATATCCTCTGCGATGTTTATTGAAAATAATGGTGAACGTCCGGTTTGACGTAATAGTGGTAGAAATAGATTGGTAAACCCGTTACTCATGTTATTTTGCTTTTGTTTATTTGTATTGTTTATGTTCGTCGAAAGTGATGGTATTAGTTCCCATCCGCCAAAATACATATCTATCAAGTGATGACGACCATCACGCGCTGTGTTTGAATTTCGACTATTTACGCAAGATTTGTAAAATGCTCGTGCTGTTTGTAAGCGCCAATCTTCTTTATGGTAGGAGTCATTTGCTTGGAAGTATTATAAATTATTGACATCAAATTATGAAGAATAAACAAAGAATATTTAATTTAAACAAACGAAGGATTTATTATAAGACGCTAATACCTAGAGATGTCTATCCTCTTATGACCATTCATAAGTAGGTATAAGTCAAATGATAATAATCTTAATGAATTCATTCGATAAATTATCGTGAATTTGATACTCAAAAAAGAGTATGGAATTCTGATGTTAGGCAAATGGAGTAGGATTACGGAAGGCCTGGCTGAACTCAACCTCGAAGACCTGATGTACTTCAAAGAATTCGATATTTAATCATTTGGACTGGTAACCACATTGCATCCTAACAGAATTATAAGTCAACTTCGATCACAAAAGCTGTATAGAATCAACTGAAACAGTGTTACCTGATATTAATTATGTCTTGGTCATAAGAAAGGCCATACTTTATCTGAATAGCTTCAGAGTAACGTCGCTTACTATCTAACATGATCCAAAGTTTTCGTATCTCATGTAGATCATCATTTTGAAATAGATTATAAATATAATTCGCAGATAGCAGGCAAATGGTATGTAGCCTGACTTCTGAACTTTCAGCTCAACATACGATTCAATCTAACTGCAAAAGCACATATATCACTTGCTTTTAACTAAAACATAATTTCATCAATCCTGAGAGTAATACAATATTGTATGTGAACAATTAGTTAAATAAACAGCCTTTCTGTTATCGAATAAGATTATACAATATACTTTTAAGTTGAGTTCCTCAAACAAATCTAGAAGTTTGATATTTTGCTATTTATGTAGTACAGTATGGAAAGTGTTCGATAATATTTCGTATAATAATTCAGTATCAATGTTGATTGATGTACCACATTCAGTAAAAAGGAATAAATAGGGGTTCCTCCCTCAAAACAAATGTTATTTGTTCAAGATGTGCTACTACCTATATCTTGAGTGATTGAAATTTTGTTTGAGTTAGTTTATAGATCCTTCAGTTTTGTTGAAGTATGGCTGTCTGCCTACTTGCACGGATTCTGCAACATAATTTTAAGCGTTATCTCTAAACAATTCAATACTCTTTCTATGAAATTTAAACTTAAGTGAAAGGTTTAAAATATAAAAATCAGCACAAATTATATTATAACATTATTTTTCTATGACTTACCAATTATCTTCCAGAAGTAGTTATCAACGTTCATTTCCATCTTTCTAAAAGTTGTTGAACTAGAATCCTCATCTGGAAAGGGATTATTCTTTTCCCACTCTCCACATGCAGTTTCGTAAAAATTAATACAATGTTTTGAGACATGTGAGTTATTGGTATTATTCTGTCCAGTCTCTTCCAATATATTTGTTGCTACAGAAAAATGTGTAAGCAATAAAATCATCTACTGAACCGAGGATTTGAGGGTTACATTCACTGTTCATCTTCCTCTTGATTTTGAATTAAAGAACACCTTCATGTGTTTTTATATGATAAGCATTATTAATAGATTATTTCGATTCATTTGCTATTCATTTTATCGACTAAACATTCTTCCGTTATTATGGTCAGAGAAATTTGGTCAACACATACTAGAAAATCACTGGCAGTTGTGGACTAGATAATATTTTTTTGGTCAGATTATTCTGTTAGTGTTCAGATAATCACAAATCTTTCAATGGATTACTACATGGAAATTCATATATTTTTTTAAATCTAAATGGGTAGTGTTAAAATTTGTCTAAAATCAATACATCAAACAATAAAATGGACAATATCAAACATCGCAAAGGGTTTCAAGGGACTAAAAATAAAGTCAAAAATAAATCTATTAGTTCACCACCCGTCGATTTATAAATATTTCACTAAAACACATGAACCATTGGTTAAATTAGAGAACAAAAATAATATAAAGCAGAGAATCATGAAAAACATCTACATTACATTAGGTCGTATAATTAGCATATGAATTAAAAATGGAAATATTCGGCCGTAGAATCAACTCAAATGGGTTTTTTTCAGTATTCATTCTACAAAATCTTTCGTTTCATCAAAAAAATGACTAACCAGTGTCAGGCGTTTCCATAGTCCGTGCATTTTCATTTGTTACAACGAATTCTAAAATGATACAAAGACAGTGAGAAGCTCTATCACCATAAACCGAAGTAAATTTTTTGTGATGTATGATCGAGGTCTATTATTGTTTATTTAATAACGATTTTGTTTCATAATTATTTATATCAAACTTGTTTTTGTCAGAATGATTTATGAATCGTGTGTTAGTCTTTGTTTTTCTATTTCATTGTTATCGAATTCAATTGTCAGATAATAAAGTTTGACTAACATAAACAAATATGATTATTTGATTCACGGTAATTTTTTAAACTGTATGCAAATATCCATTACAACCTTTGACAACAAAAGATGTAGCTTAGTAAACGATAGGAGGACTTAATTTTTCTGTGAATAAGATTTAACAACTTTATTATATTTTCCAGACATTTTTAAATCATTTCAGATGTGTAACTGTTGATAAGAACTAATGAAGCGGTATAAACAAATTGAATGTTATTACATATATATGAATAACGAATGTATAGAAAACGTGAGAAAGGCAACTAGTTGTGGAGAAATAAATGAATAAAATTAGATCAGTTCAAAGCTGCTCAATATCTTAGTCGTGTATTTTTCAAAGGAAATTATTTAAATTAATAAATATAAGATTAGAGTATGACTGTTCACATTGGGAATATGATGTGTTTGGATCTGAGAGATTTTCAGTTTTTGAAGCACAGTTTTTACAACTACTATCAAACAAACAATACTAAGTGAATATAAACTTCACCCCATTGCACAAGCAAGTAACTATCAGGACTCAGTGGCCGAGTGGATAACGCGATGGAGTTTGCTTTCGTGTGGAATGAACAATGACTACAATTATCAACCTGAATTTTACAATGACAAAATTATATTCTTTTTTGATATATTGACATGCTTTATTTAAGAAATCTTTAGAACAATCATTTAAGCCTTTATTGATATTTACAATAATTCTGGAAAACAGTGGTTATTTGGCTACTGTCCTTGATTATAGTATGATGCACTATGCTATATGCAGTATTGTTTTCTATTTGCAGTAAGTGTAAATGACTGCGTTAAAAGATACAAAATTTGAAGAGTGGTATACCAAACTATTAACATAATTTGTGTTTCTAGATTCGTTGTGAACAAAATTAAATGTGATAAATTTTAATCAAGATTCAATGTCATATATAATTTATCTTACCGTAACAGCAACTCAGAACGAAAACGATTGCCACTACATCAAATGAAATTATATTTCTTAACTTAAAGAAATCCTACCATATCTCGAAATTCTTCCTAATAGGAAGCTTCCAAATGAAAATGACATCACTTTATTGATAATGCAATAGATAGTTTCAGTAAGTTGATTCTTTTCGTCTATATATAGTCAAAAATTGTTAGTTTATGGAAAATAGTTATTCGTAGACTACTGACATATTAAAAAGACCATTTTTTCTGTTACACAAAAACATCATTCTTCTATTCAGATAATCACTGGTTGATAATGGTATTTCTTTTCAGTGTTTTGTATTACAGCATTGGATATTCCTTAGGTATTCCTTAGCAGGTATTCCTTAGCATACTCAAACTTTGATTATTTAATGAGTTTGACCTACATTTAACTTTCTAAAATCAAAGTTTTGATATTAGTAATGATAATAATATTTTAGACAAGATAAGGGAACGTAAAATAGGTCAGTGATAAAAATGAATTGAGAAATAACATAAAAGAAATTTTTTTTGAAAAAGAGATTTTCACATTTTTACTCTGATGCTGTTCACTATCTACGTTACTTCATGAAATATAAAGATTTAGTATTATATTTTATAATATTTACTGTAGGATCAGAATAATATCATCACAAATAAGATGCATTCCTCAAAGCAGGAATAGAAAATATCTCATGGAATTGCCTCATAATGCTTTAATTTAGTCTTACGTAATTGTTTATTTTTCAAAGTTGAAATCATTAGTCAATTGAAGCTAGACCACCATGCAAAACCTGGAAGCACTGGACAACCGTTTCGTCCTATTATGTGATTCCTCAGCAGTGCGCATCCACGATCCTGCACTCTCGAGATTCGAACCCAGGACCTACCAGTCTCGGTTAAGGGCTCTGGTTCGAGACTGGTAGGTCCTGGGTTCGAATCTCGCGAGTGCAGGATCGTGGATGCGCACCGCTGAGGAGTCCCATAATAGAACAAAACGGTTTTGCATGGTGGTCTAGCTTCAATTGACTCATGATTTCAACTTTGAAAAATACTGAAATCTCCACAAAACCCCTTCTGATAATTGTTTATTAATTACAGTGATACGATTTGAGGATAAATTCATTCGAATTGTTAAAAGTCAACATCCATTCTCAAAAAACTTTTCTTTCTTTTCTTCTGACTCATAGATATACAAGTGTTCTGTAGTGAATAACCAATACATTGACTGTACAGTTAAATATTTTATGTTATGTTTAAACCGATCATAATGCTACAATAAAATTTCATACCGCTTACTTTAAATTTGAGTTCCTGATTTGATTTCTAGACTTATTGAGATTACTTCTATTTCGTTCTGATGTTTCGAATTCTTATACATTCACACTTGTTCAGACAAACTTAATGATGCGACTTAATTACGAAGCCGGATATAAGCGAACAATAATAACAACTTATTATCCGTCAAACAAGCTCATTTGAACTATCTTGAAACTCTTCTCTTAACGTTTTACAAATTTAACTGGTATTCATGTTAAAATGCCTAAGGAACTATTATTCGTTTATATCAAGAACTTAATGAATTACCAACTAACCTGTACAAATGAGACTGAGCTTCGAAAATCATCTACAAAATGATGAATAAAAACCCCTATATAATTTGATATAAAAACAATCAATCATCTAACTTACTACCTAAATAATTCATAGTTTGTAATACAAAACATTGATCGTTTGGACGTAGACATAATGTAGGTTGGAAAATTTTGTTTAATGAGTATTCGGTAACCATCTCAAAAAACGAAAAATATTGTAGTATAGTGAGGCCAAAATATACGGAGAGAAAGGATTATGGGCCTTGAGAGCACATTATATTACTTCATATCCTTAGCTATTTCATTTTTTTAGGCTGATATCATGTTTAGCCAAAATATAAAGATGCTGTTCTCAAAGCTTTATCCGATTTTTATCAATAAATTAATTTTTAGCATGAGGTATTGGTAAATGTATCCTTGGAATGGATGACTCAGCAGGCGCTTGTCTTTAGTTGTAGGTCTCGGTAAAGTGTTCGGTCTACTTATAATCACAGTGCATATGAGTCACTTTCCCCAACTTTTGGATGGCGTATCTGACCGATTTATGCGTGACTTCCTCCTTCTGGGACAAAATATAACACCAGTGACAACATTTCTCGTCTTATTCCTTGAGTGTATTTAGCGTTCGATCTTTCGAAACCTTTTGAATTCAGATGAGTCGGTTCTATCATATCAAGTTATTTACACAGCTTTTCATATAATAGTAATTTCACGTTGTTAATAAATTGAGAATGTAAGTAATATGTTGTGCAAACAAGCATAGAATGCATGCGATTTAACAAGAAGTATCAGGCTGATGTAAGCTGATAAGTAGTAATAAGTAAATAGGTTTCGTACGGTAATTTCTCTAAATGCATTCAGTCATGGGTATTTTGCAAAACTGATTATGATTTCTTACTGGTGTTAAAACTTTGTTAGTAATCATAATTTCTATGTATCAGTAAGTGTATAAGAAAATGTTTTATATTTTTTTGGTTCAACAACAATCTGTTGAAAACCTCTCCTGGTATTGACAGGAGTGTGATGCCTCTGTAGCTGATTTCTCACGCTTGCCCAGATGTTTCTTCCGTATTTTGGTCGTGTGTCCTTCCTTCCAATCAATCGCCACTTTTTTCTGCCCAAAATCTTCCTGAATAGAGTGTGAGGCATGTTCGTGGTTACTTCCATGTGTGACTTGATTACTTGAGCTGGTATATTGTCAGGTGTTTCTGCTTTCCCATTCTTCATATGTCTGATGACTTTGCTGGTTTCTTAGATTGTCTGTAGGGTGACATCTATAAGAAGGCCAATGTGTGGGCTTCTTCGATATCCGATGGACTTAATGGAGCTGGTCTATTTGTTGCCAACCACTGGTATAGACCAGCTACAACACCACAATCTACTCATCGACACGCACAAATGGAGGCAAGTAGACAGAAACACTAATCGATCTGTTTGCGTAACTTCTTTTTCCAGTTGCAGATTATCCCCAGTCATAGTATGACATGCGATAGATTCATTCTTTCAACAATTACTTGATAAGTATACTGAGGTATACCACACGAAACGAAAATTGCTGCGTATAACCAGCAATGTTACACATCACATCACAAAAGCGCGCCGACTAGCTCTCCAAAAGCTGAGGTTAGCTACAAACGAATCCGATCACATGATAGATTTAGGAATCAACGGCCATCAAATATCACATAGGCATCTCCCCTTCATATGGTTCTTAAAAACGACAGCAACGATTATCGTCCAACTGATGACTATTGGCTACTGAATGCGAAAACCATTCCTGATCGTTACCTATTGCCTCACATTCGTGATTTGACAGCTACCTTGAAAGATACAACTGTCTTTTCAAAAATCGACTTGGGTTAAGTCATTAACCAGATCCCTATGGCTACTAATAATATTCCAAAAATCGCTATCATTACTCCCTTCAAAATCTACGAATTTTTGTGAATGCCTTTCGGCTTAAGAAATGTTCTCAGACTTTCCAGAAGTTCATAGATGACAATTTTCGAGGTCTCAACTTCTCACATGCGTATGTTGATGACTGCTTGATAGCAAGTCCGGACAGAGAATCCCATCTCTCGCATCTGGACATTGTGTTCGAATGACTGCGAAACCATCTCATCACTGTAAACATTCAGATATGTCAAATCGGAACCGACTTTTTAGATTTCTTAGTACAAACTATTGATGCGCATGG